GTAGGGAGCTTGTTTCCCCATTAACTCTTCTTACATCAATATATCATTTGAAAATGAAATACTCCAAATGCTCTTTCCTCGTCAGATATCCCAAAAATGGGCACTTCGACATGGTGCAATGGTTAGGTCTTGCTAAATAAATTGTTAATACTAAATAGTGAGTTTGATCCTCACTGGGTAGTCCATAATTTTGTCTTTTGTGCCACATCTAAGCTATGCTTAGAAAATCAACATAATGTACCAAAAATTTTGACTGCCAGTTTTAAAGTACAAATGTCTTTTTTGTTTTTATTTTCCTTAAAACTTCCTCATCATTTACATGCTCGGTCCAATTAATTCTCAGAATTCGTCTGTATAAATGTATTTTTTTTTTTTTTCTTAAGTCTCCTTTTCATTTTCAGTGAGAAAAATGCCCAGCATTCATTGCCTTTATATAGTAGGTGAGCACTCTTTACTCTGTTTCGAATGGTATTCTGTTTTTTCATAGTTTGCTTAGCTTTTGGAAGGCATTTTTCCAGTGCACCTCTGGATTTCTGTGTCACTTCCCAGGTAGTTAAATTTCCATTCACTTTGTAGCTTGAATCATGAATTTTTAAATTTTCCAGACTAACTTAACAAAAATCTATGACATTTTTTTTCTGTTTTTTAAATCAATTCCCCGCAAGCAAGGCAATAATTCCACTAAGATGCAACGAGCTACTGGTATTGAAAGAGATCTAAACCAATTGGCCCCTTTTCTAAAATGGGAAAACACACAAAAAAGGCATATGCCAAATTAAACTATTTTATATTCATAGCAACAGACACACACACGCATGCATGCACACATGCACATTGATATCTGCTCATGGCATATCCAAATGTAAACAAATGACGTCACACATTATGAAATGGACAAAGTCCGACAATTATTTTAAGACATTTTTATGTTTATACATTCTTTTTATAGATACAAATATTTAAGTAAATAAACGGTATTAAACAACATTTACCAGCCTGTTTCTCAGACATTCAAGCTGGTAAATGTGTAATACTGTTTATTGTCAACAGAGCTTTTACTTAAATATTTGTATCTATAAAAGAATGTATAAATAAAATTCTTAAAATAATATATATATATATATATATATATATATATATTATCTATTGGGTTGTTAATTTGTAATGGTTTCTACCTCCGTGAGTCCCAAACTAGAATAAATATGAAGAACTAAAAAGTGAAATATAAACAACAAAGGTGCCAGAATACAACAATGTAAAACAAGAATATAACATGAGTTAAACATGGTGCTAACAGTCAATATGGGTTGCACTCTACAACATTATAACTATTTGAGTTAAGGTGACATGAGGTGATAAATTACCATCTATGAATATCTTTGTTTCTCAATAGAGTGAGTCCAAACATTGGTTGCAGCATGTGTTGCCTTAACTTCTTCCCTGGATCAGAATGTGGCAAGGATCTTAATCCAACTCAGTTGCCCCTCCTGTGCCAAGTACATTGACTCACTTCACTTATCTAGGTGGAGTATTCTATCTAAAACCCTACATATTTAAATATCTGCTGTTTGACCAATGGCAAACTAGCACTAAAGAGTTCAGTGAGCCCTGCGACTTAAGAAGCTGGGGTGAGAACAAATGGATTTATACCATTTGAACAAAACTGTCATGAACTTGGCCTGAATGTGAACTAGATGATGTTCTTATCAAAATACAGCTAGCCTCCAATGCAATCACTCCATCTATGTTTTCTTCATATATTTCAGTTGCTTTAAAATAAAGAACTCCTGCATTAAGATTAACAAAGTTCAAGCACTTCAGGGAATGAAACAAAATTCAAGCACTTCAGAGAATGAAACAAGCATAAAGCACTTCAGAGAATGAAACAAGCTAAAAGCACATCAGGGAATGATACACACTTGGAGCACTTGAGGGAAGGTAACCAGTTTCAAGCACTTCAAGGAATGAAACAAGTTTGAACCACTTCAGGGAATGAAACATGTTTAAAGCACTTCAGTTAAAGAATCAAAATTCAAACACTTCAGGGAAAAAAATGAGCTTCAACCACTTCAGGAAATGAAATAAGCTTCAAGCACTTCAGGGAATGAAACATGTTTTGAGCTCTTCAGCGAATGAAACAAACTTCAAGCATTTCAAGAAATGAAACAAGCTTCAAGCACTTCAGGGAATGAAACGCACTACAAGCAATTCAGTGAATGAAATTTACTTTGAGCACTTCAGGGATGAAACATGCTTTGCGCACTTCAGGGTATGAATTAAGCTTCGAGCACTTCAGGGAATGAGACTGGCTTGAAGCACTTCAGGGAATAAAAGACACTTCAAGCCCTTTGGAGAATAAAACAGTCACTCCCTCTTTAATCTTTTTCAAACATTTCTTTAGCTGTAACCTATAGAACCATCATTTCAAAGTTGGAGAACACCTTCACTAAGGTTAACAATCTTCAAGAAATTCATGGAATGAACATACAGACTTTTAAACATAATTTTAGTGCTGTTGCCATTGAGCTATAACTTTATCAAAAGCTACCAAAATATCAAGTCACAGGATGACTGAACAATTTAATGCATCATGTGCACACAGCAATTGCATCCTGTGCACTCATACTTTACAGTGTAAGTGAAATATAAGTAAGACAGTTTAGTTTACAGCTGTTACACCATTTTGAAATAATGGCCACAACATTGACTATGTCAAAAGAAGCAAGTAAAACATCTGATTGGGCAACTAACTGCCCATAAAAATGGTCAAGGAACATAAAATTTTTATGTAGCAATTAATGAGGCTTGGCTTCATTTCTAAATATTGACATTTACATTTTCTGATCATTTGTTCAAATATGCATCTTTCGTCTTCATCTGTCTCTCTTTCAGTTGCATGATCTCAATACCTCTTTCTCTCTTTTGTTTCTCTCTAATTATCTGCCATGATACTCATCTATCAGTCTACTTTCCTATCTGCTGCTATTGCCCTTTTTAAAAGAAATTAATATTTATTTTGCATTTCCTTCCCATCAACTTCTAGTCTTCCACTTATTTTCTCTCTCCCTCTTGCTTTTTATTTATTAATTCTTGCATCTTTCTCTTCAATTAACTTTTCTTTCATTATTGCATCTCTCTCTCTATCTCTTTCTCTCTTTGTCTCTCCAACATCCTTTCTTTTGCTAATTACATCTCTCTCTCCAATTTCTATTTGTTTATTGTTGCATCTCTCGCACCAGCTTTCTGTTTATTAATTCTTGCATCTTTCTCTCCAAGTAATTTTTCTTTCATTATTGCATCTCTCTCTCTGTCTCTCTCTTGAACATCCCGTCTTTTACTAGTTTCATCTCTCCCTCCAATTTCTATTCATTTATTGCTGTATCTCTCCCTCCAGCTTTTTATTTATTAATTCGTGCATCTTTCTCTCCAACTAATCTTTCTTTTATTATTGCATCTCTCTCTCTCTCTCTCTATCTCTCTCTCTCTATCTCTCTCTCTCTCTCTCTCTCTCTCTCTCTCTAACATCCTTTCTTTTACTGGTTGCCTCTATCTCTCTCTCTCTACAATGTCTTTTCGTTTATTGTTGCATCTCTCCCTCTTGCTTTCTATTCATTAATTCTTGCATCTTTCTCTCCAACTAACTTTTCTTTCATTATTGCATCTCTCTCTCTGTCTCTTTCTCTCTTTGTCTCTCAAACATTCTTTCTTTTGCTAATTACATCTCTCTCCCCAATTTCTGTTCATTTATTGTTGCATCTCTCCCTTCAGCTTTCTGTTTATTATTTATTGCATCTTTCTCTCCAGCTAACTATTCTTTCATAATAAGTCTCTCTTTGTCTCTCTCTCTCTCTCCAACATCCTTTCTTTTCTTAGTTGCATCTCTCTGTTGAATTTCTATTCATTTATTGCTGCATCTCTGCTTCCAGCTTTCTATTTATTTACTCTTGTATCTTTTTCTCCAACTTTTCTTTCATTATTGTGTCTCTCTCCCTCTCTCTCTGTGTCTCTCTCTTTGTCTCTCCAACATCCTTTCTTTTGCTAATTAAATCTCTCTCTCTCCAATTTCTATTTGTTTATTGTTGCATCTCTCCCTACAACTTTCTATTTATTAATTCTTGTGTCTTTCTCTCCAACTAATTTTTCTTTCATTATTACGTCTCTCCCTCTCCCTCCCTCTCTCTCTCTCTCTCTGTCTCTCCAACATCCTTTCCTTTACTAATTACATCTCTCTCCCCAATTCCTATGTGTTTATTGTTACATCTCTCCCTCCATCTTTCTGTTTATTAATTCTTGCATCCGTCTATCCAAGTAATTTTTCTTTCCTTATTGCATCTCTCTCTCTGTCTCTCTCTTGAACATCCTTTCTTTTAATAGTTGCTTCTCTCCCTCTAGTTTCTATTCATTTATTGTTGCATCTCTCCCTTCAGCCTTCTGTTTATTATTTATTGCATCTTTCTCTCCAGCTAACTATTCTTTCATAATACGTCTCTCTCTGTCTCTCACATCAACATCCTTTCCTTTCCTAATTGCTATCTCTCTGTTGAATTTCTATTCATTTATTACTGCATCTTAACTTCCAGCTTTCTATTTATTTACTCTTGCATCTTTTTCACCAACTAACTTTTCTTTCATTATTGTGTGTGTGTGTCTCTCTCTCTCTCTCTCTCTCTGTCTCTCTCTCTTTGTCTCGCCATCATCCTTTCTTTTGCTAATTACATCTCTCTCTCTCTCTCTCTCTCTCTCTCCAATTTCTATTCGTTTATTGTTGCGTCTCTCCCTCCAGCTTCCTATTTCTTAATTCGTGTGTCTTTCTCGCCAACTAATTTTTCTTTCATTATTACGTCTCCTCTCTCTCTCTCTCTTTGTCTCTCCAACATCCTTTCCTTTACTAATTATATCTCTCTCTCCAATTTCTGTATGTTTTTGTCGCATTTCTCCCTCGAGCTTTCAGTTTATTAATCCTTGCATCTTTCTCTCCAACTAACTATTATTTTATCATTATGTCTCTCTTTCACTCTCTCTCTCTCTCTCTCTCTCTCTCTCTCACACCAACATCCTTTCTTTTCCTAGTTGCGTCTCTCTGTTGAATTTCTATTCGTTTATTGCTGTATCTATTCTTCCAGCTCTTTCTTTATTAATTCTTGCATATTTCTCTCCAATAACTTTTCTTTCATTATTGCATCTCTCTCTCTCTCTCTCTCTCTCTCTCTCTCTCTCTCTCTCTCTCTCTCTCTCTCTCTCTCTCTCTCTTTCTCTTTTTGTCTCTCCAACATCCTTTCTTTTGCTAATTACATCTCTCTCTCCAATTTCTATTTGTTTATTGTTGCATCTCTCCCTCCAGCTTTCTGTTTATTAATTCTTGCATCTTTCTCTCCAGGTAATTTTTCTTTCATTATTGCATCTCTCTCTCTGTCTCTCTCTTGAACATCCCGTCTTTTACTAGTTTCATCTCTCCCTCAAATTTCTATTCATTTATTGATGCATCTCTCCCTCCAGCTTTTTATTTATTAATTCATGCATTTTCTCTCCAACTAATCTTTCTTTTATTCATGCATCTCTCTCTCTCTCTCTCTCTCTCTCTCTCTCTCTCTCCTCAACATCCTTTCTTTTACTGGTTGCCTCTATCTCTCTCTCTCTCTCTCTACAATGTCTTTTCGTTTATTGTTGCATATCTCCTGCAGCTTTCTATTCATTAATTCTTGTATCTTTCTCTCCAACTAACTTTTCCTTCATTATTGTGTCTCTCTCTCTCTCTCTCTCCAACGTCTTTTCTTTTACTAGTTGCAATTACCTTTCTTTCACTTGTGTTTCTCCCTCTAGTTTACTACCTATTACTCTCTTACATCTCTCTCACTAACTTTCTTTCTTTTATTGTTATGTATCTCTCTCCAACTTCCTTTCTTTCACTTGTTGCACGTCACCCTGTAACTTTTTGCCTGTCTCTCTAATCTCCTTTCTTTAACTCATCTTCAACTTCCCCAACTTCGTTTCTTGTATAAACATAGAGAAATGTTTGCCAATTTCATGTCTACCTCAGTTTTCAGTTCATGTTTACTCTGACATAACTGTATTTTGATTCAGAAAGGGACTAACGATTGTTCATGGGAAAGACAACTTCTCAAGGGAAAAAAGGTTCAATTACACATACAAATATAGAATTGTACTCTGTATAATTCTACTGTTTGAAAGATTCGGATTTATTATTTATCAAAAGCAATTAATTCAGAACTGCGGCAGATGTAATTTCAGATACACAAAGCAATCATACTGTATTAAAATAATGATGAGATGATAATCTAGTGGAGCCAGTTCCAATGTGCAATTTTCAATGATTCAAACATATATTGACAATAACTTTTATTTTTTAGTGTTATGTCCCTTCATGACTCCAGCAGTAACAAATTACCAGAGCCTAATTTTCTTTAATAATTGTTTTCTTCATTCATATGCCATGTCCTTCCAGGACGTGGGTGATTACAGCTTTCCACAACTTCCTATCCTTTGTAGCATAACTCTTACTAAACAGTCCCTGTTTTACTATTCTTTTACACGGGCACGTTAGGTAGATTACTCATTGTTATCCTCTTGCATTCAATATTTCCTGTAAGTGTCAAATTCTTGTGACAAACATATTCAGTCTATGATATTCTCATCATCCTTCTGTAGAATCACATTTCTGTTGTCTCAAATATCTCCTTAACAGCTGTTATTTCCTTGGGAAATGTAGTGTAGTGGTTTCTCATTTCCTTCTCCAAAACATTTAAGTTTCTAGTTGTCTTTCTAAATGACTGTACTACAGGGGATAAAATGCCTAGAGTGTCATGATATTTAATCCATAGCTTTGGGGGGGGCTAGATAAAGTCATTCCTTTCATAAGAGAAATAATCCGAAATACAAAGTAAATATATCTTTGGCAGAAATTAGAACTTGTCTTCTAATCACTTCAAGTACTTTGGCCTATAGATCAGTTCTAACAAATTTAAAGTAAGAGAAAAGGAAACTGAACATAGAATAGGCGGGTCAGTGATAGTTTCACCCAACACCACCAATTGCTACAAAACCAAAACATCAAGTTGAAAACTCAAGACATGTTCTTAAATAGCCTTGTCAGATCGAAACTTTTTTGTGGGTGCCATGCATGAGGCTAACCCCATTCAAAAATATCTAAATTGTTAGTTGTATTCGACCACTTTCTGAGATCAATGATTAAAAATGGCTTTGAGTGAGTGAAGCCTGAAGACCATTCATCTTTAAACATTATGGACAGGCTCTACATAATCACAAACAATGAACGATACTAAATAACAGAACGACATCACTTCAGATATTTCAGAAACAGCAACAACTAAAATGGATATCAAATGTAACTTAAAGAGAAAATAACGACAGAAGATATTGACATTCCACACTACTTCAAGCAAAAGATTAGGAAAGAAATCCCCATCAAACCTGGAAAGAGTGATAACAGCTAATGGACTTGAGAAACCTATTTTACCTGAAAAATTGTTTTACAAGAAAGATTTTATAAATTTCAACTGAAAGCAGTACTGGCTACTCAGTGAATGAATCTCAAATGTTTCCTTGTAGGGAAACGGCTGACTATTACTGATTCCATTTTCGGCATTCAAAACTCTTCTCTAAGACAGTTGTACTTTAGTATTACGTACATGAACAAGACAAAAAGTAATCACAAAATCTGACAAAAAATGTTGTGTATTTTTTCTTGGAGATTGAAACAAGAATATTACATCCTATCATTGCAAATAGGTGAGAGAGTGCAGTTCATCATGATATTTAACCCATAGCTGTGGGGATAGGACAGTAGATGGATTCATGCCTTTCACAAGGGCAATATTTTAAAAAATAAAATGAAATAAACAGTTTTGTGTAAATGTTTAAAAAAACAGGGATTAGGAGGAAGTTGTGGAGTACCATGATCAACCACATCATAAAGGGGAAGATCACATAGAAGGATTATATTATGATGGCTCACAATATCAGAGGCAGCTGTTGCTGGTTTTACAGTAAACATTAAATATACCTATATCTCATCTTTGCGTTCTGGGCAAGACAATAAACTACACCCGACAGCAAGGCCTCTGATCAGGAGGTTTTGAGGAGCGTGGAACCACCTCTTAATTGCTGGGGTTCTCAGGTCCACCCTGACCCGGTGGGGTAGCACCTGTCAGAGTCCCAGCTATGGGCAAATAGTTAAAACCCAAACATGGGTCAAAATATTATGAAAGTGTAAAAATAGGTTTTAATAATAGGCTTTTGAAGTAAAAATTATTACTAGCAATAAATTTTGAGGAAAAAAATTTTACCAGCAATACATTTTTGGAAAAAATATTACCACCAATAAAAATGTTGTCAGCATTAAATAACCCATTGATGTGGGACTGATAAGGTATTGAGATTTCGGTGTGAGTGAGTTTCTCGAATTCTTCGTCACCACTGATGTGGGCCCAAAGTTAGGACCATGGAAGGAAAACACAGAACACAGATTAGAGGTAAGAAAGATATATTAAACAAAAAGGTTACAAAGATAGTGTAAGTGTAAGCAGAGCTTACTATGTGCCAGTGTCCAATATTGGTAGTCGTACGCGGCTGATACTACGGTATTAGAATACTCTCTCTCCTCCTCCTCTTCTTCTTCTCTGTAGAGTGTTATGTCGCATACTTTATACAGTCCTGGAAGAGTCCATGTTGTAGTTATGTTACGGTCTCACAACACCCATTGAGGTTGATATGCCGTAAAACAAACCAAACCAAACTAATATCTCATCTTTGTCTTCATCTTTGTTGTTATTATAACAAAGTTTTGTACATTGTACACTCCCATCTCCTTCAGGTGACTGCCAGGAACTTAGTAGTACTAAATAAGAACAAGATGAAATGTCCCTAGATATGGACAGTAGAACAAGATCAATGTATTTATGGAGAAGAGAAAGATATTTGAATTTCTGGAAGGATGAGTTATCATTATTTGCATTATTTATACTCAGACTAACTAGACAATTTACAAAAATGAGATATCCATCGACATGGGCAGCAGAAGATCTGTCTATCATTGTAGATCGTGCAAAGGGTCGAGTTCAATATTATCTGAAAGGTATCTGGATTGGCAGACAGCTGATGAAGGACATTAAGTTTGTCTTCATAATTCACCCCTGAGGATGATCTAAGAGGAAATAGAAAGTACCCGGGTTAACAAGAACTACAGTGCATTTCTTGATAAATTTCATCTCAACATCAAGAAAATAATTAGAGAACTAGAAAGGATTATTATAAAAATAAATGCACACAATATGTCTATATTATTTAAACATGCTTGAACACACACACACATATATATATATGCATATATATATATATATATATATATATATATATATATATATATATATATATATATATATATATATATATATATATTTTTTTTTTAAATATTTTTTTTATGTCTATACATTTTTTTATAGATACAAATATTTAAGTAAATGCTCTGTTTATAATAAACAGTATTAACAACATTCATTGGCCTGAATGTATAAACATAAAAAATCTCTTAAAATATATATACATATATATATATATATATATATATATATTTTAGACATTTTATGTTTATATGTTCTTTTTATAGATACAAATATTTAAGTAAATGCTCTGTTTATAAGAAAACAGTATTTACAACATTCATCAACCTAAATGTTTAAAAATAAAAATCTCTTAAATATATATATATATATATATATATATATATATATATATATGTATATATATAAAGACATTTTTTATGTTTATATGTTCTTTTTATAGATACAAATATTTAAGTAAATGCTCTGTTTATAATAAACAGTATTAATGACATTTGCAGAAGGATGCTGAGAATACCATGGACTGAATATGTAAGCAATGATGAAGTTTTAGAGAAAATGGAAACGAAAAGAAAACTTATAAGTCAGAAAGCAATAGTTTAAATTTCTAGGGTGCACAATGGGGAAAGAGGGCTTGGAAAATTTGATACTCACAGGATGTATTGAAGGCAAGAGGGACAGAGGAAAGCACTGCATAACCTACTGAATGAGATTGTGTAAATGATTGGTAGAACAGGGATTAGGAGAGATAACAAAAAGACCAACATTGCTAAGGGCTACAAAGAGCAGAAAGTCATGGAGAGCCATGATCACCCATGTCCCGAAGTGACACAACACATAAAAGATAAAGAAGGCAAGTCTTACTAAGTTGACTATTTGATTCTTCAAACTTCATAAAAAAAAAAGCAGTACATCCAATTAGACTCATTGATTGAAGGCCAATCTAATTTGGATTTTCGTTATTTTTTATGAATCTTATTAAGGAGGCAAAGTTACTCATCCTTTGAATTAGTAAGATACCAAACAGAAGACGAAAATGATAAAACGAACCAAGTTATTTTTTTTTTTCAAATATGTAAACTTTTGGAAGAGATTTTTTTCCTCTCAAGTTTAATGACACCTTTTTTTCATCCTACTTTCAGATGACTTTCATGGATCTTCAAACTTTGAAATGATCATTAAAACTATATAGGTTTTTCTCTTAAAAAATGTTATCTATCTATATATCTATCTAACAGTCTGTAACTATAAACATAACATTCTGTTCATATCTATCAGTCTGTAAGTATGGGGAATTCAATCTATATACCCATATATATATATATATATATGTATGTATGTATGTATGTACGTATATATTATTTATTTTAGGATAATAAAACATGTTATAAAAAAATCGCTACACAATTACAATTATGTTTCCATATTATAAATGTGTCTCTTCAGGTGATGTTAAACTACTGGTGAATGAAAGATTAATTTGATTTCAAAAAGCAGAATTGTGGGCTTTGCTGTGATTAACCAATCAAATGTGACCTATGCTAAAT